TAGTGCGCCATTAATAATCAAATAACGAGCTGAACGATAGGAAACCCGCCGCGCATCAGCAGGATCAGCAGGTACTATCTGATTCTGCAAGAACTAAGTGATAGGGTCCATCCATGTAGGGCTTTGATCGATGACACAAATGAGTGGTGCCCGTGTGCTGGGCTGGTCCAAGAACTCGATGTGGATGTTACGACCTATGCCCTGCTCCATTGCCGAGGCTAGCCTTGCCAATGCATCGGCGTGGCTGTTCTCAGAGCGTGGCACCTGGCCTATGAGATAAGCATTGAAAGTTGTAAGTAGATGACGGGTATGTTGGAGGTAGGCTGTCATGGAGACGTCCTTGGCCGTGAAGTCCTGGTTGACTTGGTAGACAACAAGCTGCGAGTCGCTGAATATTTGGATTTGCTTGGCACCCATCTCCTTAGCTAGCCGAAGGCTGGCTAAGAGTGCTTCGTATTCGGCCTCATTGTTGGAGGCGTGGAATTTGAAGCGGAGGGCGTACTCAAGGGCAACCTTGTCTGGGGATATGAGAACGAGGCCAGCTCCACATCCCTGGGCATTGGAAGAGCCATCCACATACAAGGTCCATAAGGGCTTAGTCAAGTCTAGGGTGCCATTGCTAGCGACATGGACCTGGCTCGAGGTAGGAGTAGGCTCGATCGTAATCTGTGAACTGGCCACAGTATGGGGTTCAGTGAATTCAAATATGAAGTCAGCCATGGCCTGACCCTTTGCGGCTTGGCGGGGTTTATAGTGGATATCAAACTCGCCAAGTTCAATGACCCACTTAACTAACCTCTCAGAAGTCTCCGGCCTCTGCAACACTTGCCGAAGTAGTTGGTTGGTTAAGACATGCATGGTGTGAGCTTGAAAGTATGGTCGGAGGCGTCTAGCCGAAACCACCAGGGCGAAAGCAAGTTTCTTAATATCTGGGTATTGAACCTCCGCATCTTGCAATCCTTTGCTCACATAGTGGACCGGATGCTCAGCACCTTCGTGTGGTCGAATGAGCACAGAGCTAACTGCTGTGGCCGAGACAGAGAGATAGATGGTGAGGACGTCCCCAGACTCAGGGGTTGACAATAAAGGGGTGCGGCTTCTGTAAGCCTTGAGCTC